CGGCAAACCTTTAGATTTTTAAGGACTTGTTTTGTCTACACTAATTTTGTGAAAGTTCAGTTCTTTGGTTATCTGGATTAATAAATATTCTCAAAATCCTTTTTAAAAAATATCAGGGAGCTGAATGGTGGCTCAACAGTTAAACACTCTTACTGCTCTTAGAGAGGACCTGAGCTCAGTTCCCAGCATCCTCACTAGGCACCTATAACTCTGTTATTCCAGTCGCTAGGGATCCGATGCCTACATCTGACCTCTGTGGTACCCATGAGCACTTAGCAGCTGCTCACACAGACATATGCATGTGCATGTAAATTTAAGGTTTTTTTTTTTTATTTTAAACTTAAAAAGCAAATAAAGAAATAAATGGCCTCATCTCTTTGTATGTGTAGAATTGTTATCAGTGACATCAGTTGTAAATGAAGAGTTCATCATATTTGTGAGTTTTATTTCTGTTAATTGTAAGAAAATGTAAATTGACTTATAAGGGTTTTCTTTCTAAATTTAGCTAATGATTCAGATGTTATTTATATATACAATCAGCCCCCACTCATTAATCTGCTATAATAAAATAAAAAATTTTAATGGACCAGTCATTTCCCCCAGGAATAATCTTCTTTTTTTTGGCTTTCCGAGACAGGGTTTCTCTTATGTAGTCCCCCAGGAATAATCTTAACATGATTAATGAATTACACTGTCATATTAGTATACCTTATGAAGTATCAAAGTAGAAGTCATTTATTTTTACTAAAGTAAGTTGTTGGAATGGGATGCAAATTTCACTGATACCTCCTAGGAAAATGAATGCATGTAATTTCTTCTTAGGCAGTATAAAGCAGAAAGAACACTTCATTTAGTAGCAGCAGTCCCGAGGGTTGGTGTGGTACCTCTCTGTGCGGCCTGTGCCTGTACAAGCCTGGCTGCACTCTGTCTCCTCTAAGCCCCTCTGCAGCCCTTGGCCATGCCACCCTGAGCACATTCTATCTCCAACGCCCCGTGTAGCCCCCAGCAAAGTCATTTAACTTGGGGCCTTGGTGTCTCTTGCCTATGAAATATTGCACTGTGTTTTCTCAGATCACTTTTAGTGAAATTCAAATAATAGTCTTTTAAGGCAGTATTATAGACAAGCAGCCAGCATTCTATGAAGGTTGTGTTGATTATTATGACTGCTAAACATACCAACTTAAGTAAATAAATGGTGTTTGATTCACTTTGTTCTGACCTAACTGTATGTCATTTTCACCAAATGCAGACAGAATTTACATGTAGATTTCTGACTGTAGCTAGGTTATCTGACACTTAGAAGCTACTGTTTTTAAGCTGGTGAGCATGCTCTCTGGCTTTTCCATTCTTTTACTCATATCTGTTGTCTAAAAGCTCTGTTTGTTTGTTTGGGTTTTTTGAGACAGGGTTTCTCCGTGTAGTTTTGGTGCCTGTCCTGGATCTTGCTCTGTTAGACCAGGTTGGCCTCGAACTCACAGAGATCCATCTGCCTCTGCCTCTTGAGTGCTGGGATTAAAGGCGTGCACCACCACCGCCCATCTTGGATTGGTTTTTGTTGTTGTTTTCAGTTCCTCACATTTAGTATGTCACTTACCCCTTTAGTTCTTGCAGGCCAGGGTATTGACAAATGATAACTTGGACAACTGTGTGTGTGTGTGTGTGTATTTACAACTCTAGATTCTAGGTTTCCTTCAGCCTTGAGGTAGGTAGCAGAGTTCTTACTAGTAGCTGTAGATCATGCCTGTCTGCTGCCCTGAAGAACTCACAGTCCAGCTGGTATAAGTACCATGAGAACTACAGTCTCATGTGAGCACAGTAGTGAACCCCAAGATTCATGGCAAGAAATACAGACGCTGCCTCCGTCTGCAGCAGTTAGAGGGGCTGCTGAGAGAACATAACACCTGAGTTTTAGGTTATTAAGGTTGACGAGAGGAGCCTGGGAAGTGCTTGATGAGGGAGTTCTGTACAGAAAGAAAACTATGACATGAGTTGAACTGTGTACCCGAAGGAATGGAGGCCCCGCAGGGCTGGTGTGCCTGTGTAAGGCTGAGTGGTAAAAACTGAGACACCATTGCAGGTTCCTGCAACCAAGAGAAAGAGGCCTTAGGCTCCGTGTTGGTAGGCATAGATTTTACCCTCTAAGCCGTGAGACATGACAGCATTTTAAGGAAGGAAATGGCTTTTACTGGGGTTTGGTCTCATCTCTTTCATAATTCTACAATTTTTAAGAGATGAAATTGCTGTCATTAAAAGTGCACATAGAAGATAATCTTAGGGTTTTATGCTCTGTTGCTTATAAATTACGCAATGGCTTATATTTCCTAAAACCAAAAAAGTAATAAAATAAAAAGGCCTTACTGTACCATCAGATGGTCCTCAGCATTTATATGCATGTATATTTTTTTTCAAAATGTGATTTGTTAATTTCACTTTATTCTTGATGGGCTTAAAACTATGTGAGTATTGGTGAAGCCCAAACAAATCACTTAAAATGTATTTTAAATGTATAGACTGTGTCATAATTAAATAAGGCTTCCTGTTTTTAATATTTTGTCTCAGTTTTTGAAGCACCACTGTTCACTGTTACAGAAAGACACATCACTTGGTCCACTCAGGTAACCTAAAGGTGAGCTACTTCTGCAGGCCACATGTCAAGGATACCGGCCGATCATGGTACTAGGTTCAGTGTCTAAGAACAGAGGTGACAGTAACCCCATTTGCTAAGGTCATCTGACTCTACTCATGCCCTTCAACTCCTTCGTAAGTGCCCGGCACAGCAGGGGTCCAGGATCCCTCTCCTTGGACACTCTACACAGCCATGTGCGGCTCCATTTTGCCTTTCCCTCAGATAGGGAGAGTGTGGGCTGCAGTCTTAATTTCCTCTTCTTTATGCCATTTATGGTCCCTTCCCTTGCCTTTCAGCAAAGAAAATACAGCTGTACTCGTTCGTGCCTTGACTAAACACTCCACCCAGACGTCCGCCTGAGATGGTCTAGAAATATCGTTACTGACTCTTCTGTATCAATGCAACACATGTTCTGGGGCTTCTCTCCCTCCCTCCCTCCCTCCCTCCCTCCCTCCCTCCCTCCCTTCCTTTGTGGTAGCCCACAGATGTTTCCTAGTGAGATCTGAGCTTGTTTTACCCAGCAGGCTGCAAAAGGGGGTGGCTTGATCATATGCATGGTTACCAGGTGTTTGCAAGGGTCTGTCTACACTGTTGGCTGCACTTGGCTGTATATATCGATCTAGCAAGGGGGAGGTCTTTTGCCCCACCCCTTGGCATTGTTATAAAAAGCCCTTTTGAAGAGATAGAAGGGGCCATTGGGTATTGACCCAGGTCCTCCCGAAGCTATCCTGTGTTTCTGCCTGTCTCATCTCTGCTATCTTTCTAGCTACAAATTCCTTATTCCTCTCTCCTCCTCATAGGAACCCTGTAAAATGTGGGAGCTGGCCTCCCACATTCTTTTTCTTTCTTGTTTGCTTCTTTTTTTCTTTTCTTCCTTCCTTTTTATCTCCTCCTCTTTCCTCTTCCTCTTCTTTCTCCTCCCACCCCCCTTTTTTGTTTTTTAAAAAAAAGTTTCCCTGTGTTGCCCTGGCTGCCCTGGAACTCACTCTGTAGACCAGGCTGACCTCGAACTCACAGAGATCCACTTGCCTCTACCTCCTGAGTGAAGGGATTAAAAGCGTGTGCCACTGCTGCCTGACATCTGGGGCTTCTTTTTGAAAAAGTTGTTGGAAAAGATCAAAAGTGTCCGTGAAAGCTCAAAGCCTGCCCAAAATAAACAAAATTTCTTTGCTTTTTTGATCTAAAAAGAAAACCAAAACCTGTTATTTTTATAATTAAAAATGTCTGGACTTTCAAACTTCAATTACCCTCTAGCAATTTAATATTTAAACCTTAGTGAAACTATTCTATTTGAATAGGTAAGCCAAATGTAATCATTTAAATAAAATAATAAACACGTATCACTTCCGTTACATCAGCCATATTTCAGGTGCCCAGTAGCCGCTGAGATTGGTGTCAATGGTACCAGACTGCAGATAAGAAGACATTTCCATCCCCTCAAAACTTACTGCTAGCCTGAGAGAAACCCATCATTTTGATAGACGCGATGAAAAGTTTCTACCCCTGAGCTTTGCATACACAAGAACCAGGAAGTATTGCTTCTTGATATCAGACTAAAGACCCATGTTCAGCGCATTTTGAAAGACAAATCTCCAGCTGTGAAGCCTTACCCAGCAGAGGTGTGCAGTAACACAGGCTCTAGTTCTTCTTTTTCTATTGAATTCTGTTTTTAAAACTATGTCTATTTTCCTAATAGATATATTTATGAAGAAAAATCTTTTGAGATACAAGCTGCTGAAACTGTTTTTATATGTTAGATGGTAGCATTAGATGGAACTACACTGAATATTTATGAAACCTAAAGAAATCATTTGAAAGATGTTTTCCACTATTTAAGATGAGCTGCAGTTTAATAAAGCTTTTTGCTTTTAATGTTTTGTGTCAATTTATGAAGCACCTAATGCTTGTAAGTTGCAGAGAGATGCATTGGTACAAGGTGGTGGGGGGCATGGCTTTTCCTTGGGTAACCCAGAGGTGGGCTTCTTCATCAGGGAGTGTGTCAAAGGTCCAGCCAAGCCTACTGCTCACATTCAAACTTACTTCTTTTATAACTTTCATTACATACATTCTTCAGGAAATGTACCAACAGGATTTGCCTTGTATACTCGAAATACAGGAGGTACTCATTTTACAGGTTATACACTGATAATCTTTGACATCAAATATTAACTTTTATGAAGGTAATATATTCTAGTTACCAAAAAATCCTTCAAAAACATTGATTTCTAAGAGAATTGAGAGCCTTTGGTTTATGAGACAAGTCCCCCCCAAGATTTACTTACCCATTATTATCCCTTATGGCTGTTATATTCTATAGCAAATAATTGCGAAATGATGATAATGAAACAAACCCATTTATTATGCTTCACTGAGATTGGTTCACTTTCTGTCATTGTTAAACTCTTTATTTTGAAGAAATAGCATTAGTTTCATGTCATACAGAAACTTGACAAAGTAGACTTATGCACAAAAACATTTACCAGAACCTTAGAGAGTGTTTAAATAAATGAGCTAATTAAAACTGCAGCTGGTCTTGCTTTGTGAGTGGCAATTATTGAAAAAGCAATGTTAGAAGCTGATTGAAAATGCATTCTTGCCAGGTGTGGTAGCACACACCTTTAATACCAGTACTCAGAAGTCAGAGGCAGGCAGATCTCTGTGAGCTGGCCAGCCCTGTCCACATAATGAGTCCCAGGATGGCCAAGACTATGTAGAGAGACCCTTCTCAAAAAGCCAAATAAAATAAAAAGCATTCTTTATTCTTAATGTTCCATCTCTCCAGTAAGCTTTTAAAACAGGGATTTTAGCTAATAAGCAATATTGATTTGTGTTGTATCCATTGTTTTTTCTTGAGTTACGTCATCGGCTTCATAGACTATCTCATTTGTTGAATTTGATGCTGCATTTGAAATGAGGCCTTTGGTTTTTCTATTTAAGTTGCCTGCAAATACAGAAGACCAAATGAAATAATTAGTCAAACTTGTGACAGAATTTGTCTTTTCAACATTTGTGCTTGAATTGTTATAATCGTATTGAAAATAGTCCTGAAAATACTGTATTGATGGGTAAGAACCAAGTCCTTTCAGAATGACTTTGAGCCATTCATTCTGAAAGCGAAGAGAGATACTTGGTCACAGGAATACGAATTTCATTTCCAGGATCTTTTCTCCGTGCCTCTATGAAAAAGCACACATTTCATAAAGAGGTAACAATTTCAGGGTCACTTAATGGAAATGTGACTGTCCCTACTCTATACATAAATAGAATAAACTGTATTAAAGTCAATCATGATGATTTCCAAGAATCCGAAGGCTTTGCCACCATAAGCAATTTGGATGTGAGTTTTTAAAAAGAATTCACTCCACAATCCAATTCACTCCACAATCCAATTCACACACTGTATATAAATCCATAATAAGCAAGGGCTGAGGGATGTGGTCTTTACCCACCAGCATTTGAGCTAACAAAGAAGTGGATCATTATTCTGTGGATTGTTACTGTGCTTGTATCTTACATAAGCATTTATTTAAAACACAAAGGCTTCAGTGTGGGGTGTTGTGGGGGGGCGGTTCTGAAAACTTAAAACCTAATGTCGGTTTATGGACTCCTACATATTTCCTAAGTAATGCTCGCATATTTAAATTCATAATATTTGAGTTAAAATTTCAAAGCCTCCTTTCCCCTTCTTCATCGATGCAGGTTCTGTTTTTTTATCGCAATGGGGGATCTCTGGGAGTTATTTGCTAACCTAATAATTGGGATGCTCTGACTTGTCTCCATTCTGGCAGGTTTGGTTTCCACTATGGATATCTGTGGCAAAAGCTGGAGGAATTCATCAAAACTGCCTAGTGCTCTTTGAGTCGTCCAGCTATCAAACACATTCCAGTGTTAAAAATTCTCTGTCGTTAGCACACTTGCAAAAGCCCTTATTCCCCAGCCCTGATTCATTATTCACTTGGCTTCCAGATCCTTCTAAACACGTTAGCTTATCAAGACAATTTCCTAGGTTGGCTTCTAAATCCAAAGCAATTTCCTATTCAAATAAGAAAGATTGGTTGTAAACACCTGAACACTCCAGAATTTACTCTGGTAAAAATTCAAAAGCACCTTCAATGGGTTTCCCTCCGGCAGTTTAAGGTAATTGCAAATACAGAAAAACAGCAAGTGGAGCCCTAGTGATGACAGAGACCCCTAACATCTTTTGGGGACCATTTTAAGAGAAGGGCCCACCTCAGCAACCTGTTTTCCCTGGTTTTCCTTTCATAGAAACTAATCTCTTATCCAGCCAGGTAGGGATAAAGCCTTCTATCACAGGCTACAACATGGATTTGATTTTAAGTAAGAAAGCTGTGATGCCATTGAACTGCCAAGGATTTGTTACACGTGGAGGGTTTTCTTATTTAATTCCTATTTCTGTGGTTGAGTACAAACTGCCAAGACCCACCATCATAGTTCTCCCCTTCAGTTCTTGGTGGTAAGCTTTCGTGTTTCCACCCTTATTTCGTTTCAGTCTGGCTACTATATGTAAATCTTAGCCTTCCTTTAATCCTGAATATCATAAGCTGGCCCTTAAAGCTTTGACCTTTGGCAAAATTTAAATCCAGCTCATTAAACAAAATCACTCTGCCCGTTCTCGTTGTAATGATGCCAAACACTTGTTCTACTAACAGTTAAACTTGTATGTATTTCAGAGCTGGTCCTCAGGGACCAACTTATCGTGCGATTGTGAACTTGGGTCTTGACAGGTATTTCAAAACAGAAAAAGAAGGTCGGGGGACCCCTGCAGGTCTCTGTCTCCTGGCTACCTGGCAGATCTGTAATGGAGCTTTCCTGCCATTATTCATCCAGCTTAACCTAGCTTCTAAGCTGTGGAACTCTAAGCGGCTCCTGGCTGCGGATCTAGCTGCATAGCTTTGGGAAACAATGAACACCCCTAAGTCATTCTGTTGTTTTGTGGTGGGGTCAGCTTTGGCTTTCTTGGAGCAGTCTCACAGACACGGCTAAGGCAGTGATCAAGAAGTTTGCCAATTGATTATCTCTCTTTCCAAGAGACTCCATGAGTGGCTTTTTGTGCTACTAAATCCAAATTATCCCCTTTTTCACTAATATCACAATGAATTCTTTAAAAGTGTTCGTGAAAGCCGGGCGGTGGTGGCGCACGCCTTTAATCCCAGCACTCAGGAGGCAGAGCCAGGCGGATCTCTGTGAGTTCGAGGCCAGCCTGGGCTACCAAGTGAGTTCCAGGAAAGGCGCAAAGCTACACAGAGAAACCCTGTCTCGAAAAACCAAAAACAAAACAAAACAAAACAAAAAAAGTGTTCGTGAAATAAAGTATTACTAAGTAGAGTCAGCAGTCCAATTTAATGAATTTTGAGCACCTTCCCCCCCCCCAAGTATTAAGTATTTCATAAAGTGACTCCCAAACTTATCTATAAATTTGCTCTAAAACCATCAAAATATCACCTAACTGTTTCAAAATTTTAGAGTGTGATCAAAAGTTCATTTGAAAACTTAAGCTTTACATACAAAAAGCCAAGACATTCTTAAAAGAAGCTTGGTGGAAGGAAGAAAGGAAGGAAGGAAGGGAGATGGATTCTTGAGTTGACATTAAAATAATATAAATGCAATAATTTTAAAGTCTATCATAATTTAAGAATAACCAGAATGAAAAATTTAACAGAACACAGTCTAAAAACAGACCTGAGTATATATAACAATTTATGGTAAGTGACCATTTAGGTTGACATTAGAAAGATAGACTGCTAGATATTTGGACAGCTGACTCATTTGGAAATAAAAGAGCAGAGTCCCTACTTTGCTTCTGTAGAGTTATTAAAGCTTTAAATACACATACATATATAAATACAACAGAAGAAAACCTTCATCATCTGTGAAAGAATAAATGCCCTCATAGAAAAAAATATATAAAAAATAAGCAGTGTGCCACAAAAAATGGCAAACATGAAAATGTCTAATTTGATAAATTTGAAATAAAATACTATGCTTTGCTAGGCGGTGGTGGTGCTCGCCTTTAATCCCAGCACTTGGGAGGCAGAAGCAGGTAGATCTCTGCGAGTTCAAGGCCAGTCTTATCTATAGAGTGAGTTCTGGGATAGCCATGACTATTTCACAGAGAAACGCTGTATCCAAAACCAAAACAAAACAAACAGAAAAATGCTATTCTTTATGAAATTAATAAAGTAGATATCTTTAAATAATAATACTCAAAGCCACAAAGATTGTGGAAAAGTAAGTAAGTGTAAAATAGTAATTTCTGGAGGGTAGGTAGATACTATACCCACATCTTTTGATATATGTGCACACTCCGATTAGGAATTCTACTGTTAAAGATTTATGCTAAGAAAATACTTAAGTGTTCAATGTATCTGGAAGAGAATGGTAGAAGTGGAAGTCGGTACCGTAATTAAATTTGGGGTATCCACACTTGACTTATAAACACTGTTACCAACTGAAATGAACCAGGCTTCTTGAAGAAATGGTAGGCTGCAGTGGAGGAACAGGGAAAGTACCAAATGTCTTGGAGAACAATAACAACACCAAAAAAAAAATGTGCTCCCAAAATGATGGGCAAACAGGCATGGGATACAATTCGAGAGAGTTTGTTTAATGGCAAGAGAGATGTCTCAGTGGTTCGGGGTGCTTTCTATGCAGTCATGAGGATGTGAGTTTGGATCCCAGCATTCACATAAGAAGCCAAGGTCCTGTGTATGGCTGTAATCCCAGCACTACAGAGGATGGCACTGGAGGATCACTGGAGCTTGCTGGCCAGCAGCCTAACTCCAGCTTCAGCAACAAACCATGATCCAAGGAAGGAAGGAAGGAAGAAGGAAGGAAGGAAGGCAGAACCTGATGCAGCAGGACACTCAGTGTCTCCCTCTGGCTTGTGCAGGCAATGTGCATACACTACATACACATATACACCCCCCAAAAAAATTAAAAAAAAAATAAAATGAAAAATGACCACTGACCAAACGTAAAGTCATTCATGGGTCAAAATAAACAACAATAATAATATTTTAAAATCCACAAGTCCATGCTAACATTAAAATGAATGGGCAATCCGATGGTTAGAATGCATGTGTTCCTCTAAAAGGCATATGAAATCAAACTGGCAAGTATTAAGAGCTGAGGAACTTAGGAGGTGATTGGACCATGAGAGTTCTGCCCTTCCATGTGGAGTTAGCAATCCTACAAAAGGGTGGAGGGGACCAGCTAGCTTCTTTTTGCCCAGTCTCTCCTTGCTCTGTGAGCAGGCATAGCATCATGGCACTCACTGAGAAGCAGACATCAGCTCTCAGTGCTCAGTACTCAGTCATCTTGATCTTAAACTTCCCAGCCTCCGGAATTGTGAAAATTAACTTTTCTTTATCAATTATACAGTCTAAACTATTTTGTTTCAGTGGCACAAAGAACTAAGAAAAATAACAGGGGAGCAATGAAATAATAAATTTAAAAGCCGTAAGAAGTTGGAAAATTGTCATTTATAAGTGTCATCATAATAACAGTTGTCAAAACAATCAGTGATTGAGCGAAAATTCATAGAGGATATTTTCATGGTTTCAAATACCTTACTATAATCATGTTACCATAACTAATAACCAGGCCAGCCAAGATTGTGTGCTGTCTGTGGTACTTTGATACTACTATACCTTCCGTGTGTTCTTATAAAAATGTATGCTCTCTCTCTCCAATCATGAGAAAACAGACAAACAGAAATTGAGAGACACTGTACAAAATATCTGGCTTTTTTTTTCTCTCTTCAAACTTGTCAAGGGAATAAAAGCAAAAGAAAGGCCAAGGATTAAAGGAAACAAGAAATAAAAGGATGCAAATGTAATTCTGGACCAGATCTTAGATAAGAAAAAGTAGCTATTGAGATTGGAAAAAATTAATATAAACCCCAGAGTGTATGTTGCTGTG